CCCAGAAAGGTGTTAAAGACATCATTAAATTAACCCGTGTGACTCTGGTGATTTAACTTCAGTTTTATTAAGCAACACGAGTGCTTTGTTTGCGCAAAGAAAAAAATAATAATTTACCACTTTATGAAAATATTCATCTCTGACAAGCGTACACGAGAGCACGACAATGGATGAATGTTTTGTTGAAATTAAAGTAGACCTTGTGTGAATGCATGCATAAAATTGAGGTTAAACCAGTGGAGTCACATCGATTACTTTAATGAATGTCATTACTACCTTTCTGTGCCTTGAATGTGCTAGTTGCGTGGACTGTCAATGTAGGGACAGAAATCTCTCAGATTTCATTAAAATATCTTCATTGGTGTTTTGAAGATGAACAAAAGTCTTACAGGTTTGGAATGACATGAGGGTGAGTAAATGTTGACAGAATTTGGGTAAATTAACCCCATTAAACAGTTTGTCAAAAGCATCAAGAGAAGACACTGACTTGCACGGAATGGCATGCTGATCAAAATTTAAGTACTGGTGAACTGAATAATTCTTCCAAGAGCCAGGTGACAGGGCTGAGCACTTCCAGCAATGCCTTGAAGATGCTCCTCAATGCTTGTTCCACTCTGGAAAAAAAAAACAAGAAAATCGCAGAGGACTATCACTGATATGTTAAATAAAATAAAAAAAACTACAAAAAAAATTATAAATAAAAACAAACCTTCTAGAAGATATCTCTACTTGAGACGTAGACGCCTTTCCTGGTCTCTTCTGGCCTTGACAAGACACAAACAACAAACATTTTAAGATCATCAACACTGCTTAAAGAATGCTATATGAAGTTAATCCTTAGTCACAGTTAATGCAACTCAGTAGCTACAAAACTGCTGTGAAAAGTGGCACAATGACATTTCTCTTTTCATTTTGCACCTTCAAATTATATTCCTCGTTAGAAATGCCTCTCTGTATAGTTTTGATTCTCCATAGCAAGTATCCGTTGGCACTCTTACCAACATCATAGTAATGCACCTTAGAAAGACAAAAATACAGAAAAAAGAGAAGAAAAAGTGTTTTAAAATCCAAGAGAAAAATACACCACCTATATTACGGGCATGTGATCAAAACGTTTAAAAGTTGTCAACAATGCATTAAAACTAAAACAAAAACAGTGCGATACTTAGTCATTTTTGAAGAAGGGAACACTGAGGTACAGGAACAAAGGCACAACTCCTCTGGCATAGTTTTCGTTCACCTTCCTTGGTGGTGATGTACTGCAAAAATAAATAATTTTTTGAAATATAAGCCGCACTGCTCCGGGTGTGTGTTCACGGTTTGTGTGTGTGCACTTTGGATGGGTAAATGCAGAGCACTAATTCCAAGTATGGGTCACTTGGCCACATGTCACTTCACTTTCACTTAAAACAAAAACAGTGCAATACTGCAATACTTATGAAGAAGGGGACACAGAGGTACAGGAACAAAGGCACAATTCATCTGGCATAGTTTTCGTTCACCTTCCTACCTTCCTTTGTACTGCAAAAATAAATAATTTTATGAAATATAAAAATAGTATATATATACACACACACACACACACACAGTTATTTATATGAAATATTACTTATTATTTTCTTTAATGTCATCTGTCAGGATATTGAGTTTTTCATTGAGAATCAATCAGACCAGCTTAATAATAAAAAATAAAAAAGTATCAAAGCAAACAAATAAATATGGCATATAAACAATAAAAATACTACTTCAAACAATACTTAATTTTACATATTCTTGTAAACTTTAACCTTATAAAGATCAAATTAATGTTGTATTT